AAAAAAAAAAAAAAAAAAAAAAAAAAAAAAAAAAAAAAGAGAGCGGTTCCAAGAACGGATCAATGCATGTCCAGATCAAAGGAAGTTCACCCTCAGCCCAGAGGGCATTGACACTACGTGCACATGACGGTACATAACTACGTGCACATGACGGTACATAAATCGCCCGATTGAAGCCTCCCCTGCCTTCTGGAAACTTATGGAAATTGAGTCAATTGACTGTTCAGGTAGGAGGGTCTTTCACGCTGTGTCCGGTTCCCGGCACGTGCTGCTCCCCACAAATAGATCGGAGCCCATTATTAAAAAAACAACGAGGTCGGCCACGGAGTCGCAGACTTACCTGTTGGCCGGTGGTCTCTCTCTCTCTCTCTCTCTCTCTCTCTCTCTCTCTCTCTCTCTCTCTCACGCGCACACACACACACACACACACACACACACACACGCACACAAATAAACAAGTGTTGCAGTGTATATTTCCATGTTCTAGCGGTAGATTCATTCGATTTTGCTCATCCTATCGATGGAAGTACCATGAGGCCAGCCGTGAGGTTGCAGACTTAACTGTTCCCTTCCCTCTCTCTCTCTTGCAGACTTAACTGTTCCCTTCCCTCTCTCTCTCTCTCTCTCTCTCTCTCTCTCTCTCTCTCTCTCTCTCTCACACACACACACACACACACACACACACACGCACACACACACACACGCACAAATAAACAAGTGTTGCAGTGTATATTTCCATGTTCTAGCCGTAGATTCATTCGATTTTGCTCATCCTATCGATGGAAGTACCATGAGGCCAGCCACGAGGTTGCAGACTTAACTGTTCCCTTCCCTCTCTCTCTCTCTCTCTTTCTCTCTCTCACACACACACACACACACACACACACACACACACACACACACACCGGCCCCAGCCCACGTCCCCGTGCCAGAAACACCTCCCCCGACACGTTTGAAGGCCTGCGCAAACGCGCCAAACATGTTTCGGCTCGTTCATTGATCGCGAGGCAACACAGTTGTTGTGGGAGCTAACGTTAACGTTGTTCCAGACTGGGACGGCTCTGCACTGACAGGTTGGAGCGGGGACATACAATTCAAATGGGAGCAAAAAGAGGCTTGTTCTCCCCTTATGTGGACATAACACAACCTCCTTCATGCTCTTGTTCCGACAAAAATGGGGCACAGGACCAAACAACACGGGACTGATAAAAAGAAATGCCTTGCACAGAAACAAGAAAAAAGAAGCTTCAGAACAAACAAAAACCAAAACCAAAAAAAAAGACAAAAAGGAAATCCTTGTCCCTTCGCAAGCGTTCATGTGCAAAAATTGTGTGGAAACTCCCGTAATGACACGATTATTGTCGCTTCGCCTTCATACCGCCTGATCTTGTTCTCAGTCACATCTCCACAACCTCTCTCTCTCTCTCTCTCTCTCTCTCTCTCTCTTACACACAAAAGAACACATCAACACAGCGGTATGTGTGTGTTGTCATGCGCGTGCTGTGACGTATGCGCATCCATGTGCGATGTGCTACATGTGGGAACATCTTTGTGTACTAGTGGCTCAATCACTGTTCTGCACAACCACACAGCGAAGAATCTAGCACTGGAAGACACCACAACAAATAAAGAATGATAACTTCGAATTAAAAAATAAATCCACGAGTCCCGATGTCGACTCTGAGATGGAGGCCTTGCGGAACACAGGTAACTTGGCCCACAAGTGGCCCTTCCCACCGCCAGAGAAGATGAGAGAAAAAACACTAACATAATTTCGTGGACATAATCCACCTCGCTACAGGCACGGAAGAGATGTTCAGAGAAGGGAAGGTATCAGTAATTAAAAACGCTCCAACTCTCTCTCTCTCTCTCTCTCTCTCTCTCTCTCTCTCTCTCTCTCTCTCTCTCTCTCTGTGTGTGTGTGTGTGTGTGTGTGTGTGTGTGTGTGTGTGACACACACACACTGTCACGTCATACAGCCTGATGTTGTTCTCATTCACATCTCCACAATCTCTCTCTCTCTCTCTCTCTTTTCACCTGTGTGTGCTTGTATTCCTTGCCACCTTACTCCTTGGTGCCACGCCCCCCTCTTCCTCTCTCTCATTTGTCTGCCTCCTTCAGATCCGTCTCTCCCATCCCCTTCTCACTCTGCGCATTTCCAGTCTATTGCCCCCCTGCCCCCCGCCCTCCTTTGTCTGCCCCGTTCAGTTCCATCTCTCCCCTCCCCTTCTCCCTCTGTCCATCCCCAATCTATTGCCCACAACATATTCCCTCTCTACCAACCTTGTTCTTCTCAGTCCTGTGATGTTCACCTCCCTCACTCTTCCAACACCATATATGAGTTCTTTACCCAACCCTCCCCACCCCTTATCTTCTTCTCCCATTTGTACACCCTCTCTCTCTCTCTCTCTCTCTCTCTCTCTCTCTCTCTCTCTTCCCATTACCAAGAATACGGTTGCCGAGTCTGCCAGCCGCCCGGGAGTCGCCGTCCGTATACAATGAGCGAGTGGGTGAGAGTAATGTCAATCCTTCGCCAAATAATGGAGAGCATGCTCTCATTCAATTCACTTTCTGCACTGCAGAGAGGGAAAAGAAAAGGCTACACTGGTGGGAGTCCCGCCACCAATGAGGAAGCTGGGACAAGTATCCATCTCACAAATCCCTTTGCTGGAAGTCACAGACTACGAGACGGGCGTCGGGCGCTCATCTACTAACAATCATCCCCATTCCTGTACAAGCTTGGCCGGAAAGCCGCCTGCCAACCATCAGAATTCCAGCTTTATGGAAGCGACATACTGTGGCCGACGGCTCGTCCACAAACACAGTCCCCATTAAGAATCATCACACCTTCCTGTACAAGCTTGGCCGGAAAGCCGCCTGCTAAAGATAGACCGCCAGCTTTCCTCCTTAATTTCAGCATGCCATAATTTTCCGCATGCCATCCCTTGCACGGGGGCCATGCGTATGCTCCCTGTGCAATTTCCCGCTTCCGTCGACATTCCAGAGAGCACATGGGAGCGTTGCGACCACGGCAAGGACCAGTCGCTTGGTCGGAGATCCGCTGTGGTCATTCATACACACAGGTTAGCTTAGGTAAATGAGGCGCTCGGCCTAGCTGACCCATCCTCAAGCAACTGTACCAAGAACATAGTGCCTGGGGCGGTTATTTTTTTTCTCCATGGCTGGCGATGGACGTCTCCTCCCCTTCTACAATGCAGCGCACTTTGGTGTGTAAGTGACCACCTTTCTCAAGGTACAACATGGGCTTCGAATCACACAGAATCCAATGGATATCGAATGCCCAGCATGGAAATATGGTATTTATCGATACGAGGTGAGTTCAGCGTACCGGTACGAGGGGAGAGGCGCCGACGGAGAGTCCCCTTCTTCCATGCACAAAAGTTTCGCACAAGTTGGATAGCCGACATACTGTAAAACACTGCAACATACAAAACGGAAGCGAAAGTGCCACAGCACTTAAGATGAGGACGAAGAGTAGCCCATGAGCAGGCGTATCATTTTCGAGTACCCCGCTCCACGCCAACGAGGGTGGATGGCTGATGAACCTGGCCCACTTTCCAACTAACCAATCAATCAAGTAAATTCTGCACAGAACGATTAGATTAAATTAACACAAGGGGCAGCCCTAAACTCCCCATCAAAACTGATAGTTCCTTCTTACAAAGCTGTCTTGTTCCCTATGAGAGAACCCTCCTCACTGAATTCATCCGCCTATCGATGGCGAGGATGCAGACATCATCGCCGGAGGGGTTGTCGGAATGGCAGCAGTGACTCCAGGCGTGGCAGCGGCTGCCACAGCTTTAGAGCTCTCAACCTTTGTCAGATTGTCTGCCCCTTCACAGGCATCATGTGTGGATACTCTTCCCGTACGTCCTATCTCACTCTCAGGCAGGGTAGAGGCGACGTTGGTGGAAGCGCTCCGTCCAGCGGTGGGGGTGAGACAAGTTTCTTCAACTTCCAAGACCGCTGGCAAGTGCCATCTGTCATTGTGATCACGCCCCCCGCTCCCTCGTTCGCGACCCAGACACAAACCAGGGGAAAACAGAACACCCACTGGAGACCACTCCACACCAGCGTAGTCCGTGGAACTTGACGCCAATGATGCATCCCCCTGCAGTTTATAGTAGTTTGGATTCGCGACAGGATTCCTCGGTGAAAGCCTAGGGCCTCCAGACTTGGATACCCGCGCTGAGGGCTGTGTTTCTTCGATTCTTCCGTGACCGTTTGCTCTTGCGCCAGACTCCCCTTGCACATTTTCGCTTTCGCTCGAGCACCGATCCAAAGGCTGAGCTATTATGGTGCCTGCTTTACCCACCGCGCATGCGCCGTTGGCGTTCTGCTGACTCTGTGCAACTCGGTCCCGATAGGGAACGACAAGCTTCGGGAGAGGAGGTCCTTTGGTGGAGAAGGCAAGTCCAGGACGCTTGATAAGTCGCACAGGAGGCATGTTGCTGCTGTCGTAGGCACCTTTGTGGGACCCTGATGGCTCTGCAGATACGCGGCTCGAACCCGACCGGAACTGCGGCCGGGCAGGTAAGGCTTCCACACGCTTTCGGGAGCTGTTCCCTATCGACAGGACCCTGGCTAGACCTTCCACCGGCGACTTGTTGGCGTCATCCTGTGCACTGCTTGGACCGATTGCCAGGACGTGGTCGCGCATGGGTGAAAGAGGAGCCACAGGGGGAGCCGCAGGGGAGCGAGGAGGAGGAAGGCCAACAGATGCAACTGCAACAGCGGCGGCTTTCTTGACTGACATGCTGCCAGGTTGCTGGCAAGCATTGGCTGTCCCTCTCACCTGCGGCGGAGGAGACCTCATCACGGCCACGCCGGCACCATTCTGGTCGAGCGTCATCCCGACAACAGACGGCCTCCTGACGCAGCTGTTGCTGCGCAAATGCGTCTTTGGCGAGCAGCCCGGTTGCATCTCGACATCCTGATCCATCGGCACCACAGGGTCAGCCAGCCTCAGCCCAAGGTTGATATACGCTTCGGATCCTCGCAGACAGAGCGTGTGGTATGTGAAGCCGCTGTTCGAGAACTCAATTGCCTGCATCACGGTCAGGATCTGCGCTCCGAGCAACTTCCGCGAAAGCGGGCGTCCCTGATAAATTTCGATCAAAAACCCGCTGAAGTCGTCGTCCGGCGTGATGAGCCTCCGGCTGGGGTCGAGCGGCCGAGCAAGAGTGTCTTCATCGAGGTTGAAAAAGAGCTTCTCATTCCACTCCGGTTCCGGTCCAGAGCTTCGGACACACTTGGTCGTCTGCCTCTGCTTTCCATCGAGCGAGATGCGGACGTAAAGGGACATCAACCTCCCAAGCCTCGTGGAGATCGCCAGCCCCTTTGCAGACAGCACTGTCATCTCTAGAACCTTCACAGTCTCCGGTGGGGCAAAGTGCTGTGCGGCACGCCCTGCTCCCATCTTGCTCCCAGCTGTCTGGACAATCCTATAAGCTATAGTACGACTCCCTGCAAAGTCCAACAACAGGGCACCCAAGCAAAGCCACCATCATAATCCACCCATCGACGACAGAACAGCACTGATCAGCTTCAAAAATTCGAAAGTGTCAATCAGTTCAATCAACCAATCATCCACTTCAACCACCGGTTCTCACAAGCCCTAGCCAAGCCCTAGCCAAGCCCTAGCCAAAAAATCTGTCTTCCAAGGGTCGCAAGCCTCCAACTGTTCTCTTCATGGGGGCCTTTGCAGTTCACCACCGGGGCGTGGGCCGCCCCAACCGTCACGGGCTTGCCGCGTAAACCGGTCAGACGAAAACAAGCAATCAGACAATCGAGCCCCACGACGCACACAACAATCATTCACCCACCCCAGACCACTTTGACAGAACACAAGTTGTCATGAACAACAGAGCATTCCATCAACGCACTTCACGGCATCGAAATGCATAATACCCATCTAAGCCTGAACCACGAACAACAGCACAGAGATTGCGCATGTGGAGAACACTTGGGCATGGCATGCAGGGAAACACTTGGCAGTACCGCAAACACCCCTCCTCCCGAAGCATGAACAACGGAGAGACGTTGAGACAACTAGGCCCCAGACTACAAGACGTCGGTCAGACCAAACAGAGTCATTAGGACCAAGCAATAACATGGAGCGAAAGATTAATCCTGCAGCGAATAACACAGGTGGTTTTTTTTTTTTTTTTTTTTTTTTTTTTTTTTTTTTTCCTCCTCACATAATCGTACGAAGTCCGCAGAAGCAGGAACATCCGCAAAACGAGAACACTCGTTCGACTTGTGAACATATCTCCTGTGAACTATGCTGGTGGTACGACTTCCCATCATCCCCTAGCCCATGCCTTCCTCCCACCGGCAATGATAAACAAAAGGCACGCACAGGACAAACAACAGATATCATACAAAAACACAAACGAAAATGCCGACAGCAGAGACCGCATCTGTTTGCATCGACAGTGTGCGTCTGGGCTCGAGTGCAACCAAACGCCACACTTGTTGACGTCACCAGTGTGCTTCAACGCTTGTTCGGGACTGGACAGTGGGACTCGCTCCACTGGACAACACTCTAATAAAGGTATCTGGACCACATGATCGTCCCAGTACCACTCTAAACGTTGCACTCGTCCAAATGCACCTGGTCCAGAAAGCGGACAAATGCATGTAGAATGTTGAGTGGTGCAGTGAGGCGCAATCTCTCGAAAACAAGAGTTAAGAAAAAGAAGCAACGGCCGTGGCCTGGCAGCAACCACAAGGACTGGGCAACGGAAGAGAGGAGAAGAGGCGGAGACAGGGGGGAACCGGGGAAGAGTAAAAGGGAGAAGAAGGATTGGGCACCGGAAGAGAGTAGAAGGGGGAATGAGGAGGAGCAACGGGGAACGAGGGGGAACAAGAGGGAACTGAGAAGGAAAGGGAAGAAAGACAACAAGGAGAAGGTATAAGAGCAAATGGAATCTCACACAAGCGAGTACCACGGTCGCCAACAGACGACTCGGGAAGTCGAAGAGTCGGGTTGGTTGGGATTGCAGCCCAACCAAATTGGGTGTTGGGTGGTCAATCGCCCCATGATGCAAAAGGCTAAATAAGGGGCGAAGGACCGAGATAGTGAAGAATACCAAGAGGGAAGGATGATAACAACTTTGGAAAGAGGGGGGGGGGGGAGGAGGAGGAGAACACGAGACGAGGGTCTTATCGGTTGGTTCAAACCAGTTCTGTTCATTGAAGCAATAAAAAAAGAAAAAGAAAAAAAAAGTATTCTGTCGGATCACCTCTGGACTCGTATCTATAATTAGAATCCCCACCTGGCAGCGGCGAGTCTACNAAAAAAAGTATTCTGTCGGATCACCTCTGGACTCGTATCTATAATTAGAATCCCCACCTGGCAGCGGCGAGTCTACAGTTAGCCTTGACCACAGATTCACAGACGATCGATTCAAGTGCTCACGGTCCTAGCGTCTTCTTCCCGCGAACACAACGCGCCCTCCATGCGAGCGTATCCGACAGCACATATGGCTTGTACACATTCACAATCAGGGTGGGGGTTGTGTTCGGGGGAAAGATGGTGACAACCAGTGTTCTCGGTGCATCGCATAGTTAACACGCATGGATTCGACACACACTCCTTTGCAACACCGATGCGTATGGCCTTCACATACTCATTTAGAACACCGATGGAAAAAGGGGAAAGAAAAAGGGGAAAGAAAAAGGGGAAAGAAAAAGGGGAAAGAAAAAGAGAGGGAGCAAGAGAGAGAGAGAGAGAGAGAGAGAGAGAGAGAGAGAGAGGAAGGGAAAAGCACAAGATGATCAGCACTTAACCACTCTGGGGCTTAGTTCGCACACCGTCAGAATGCATATGGACCTACCATATGGGCAGGCGCATGACATACACTGGAATACTCATTTACAACACATACGCATAAGCGTAGGTACAATAATCAAGACATTTGTTTTCTCTCCCTTTTCGATTCCTCGCCAGGGAGATGAAAGGAAGACAAAACACCAAAAGCACAGAAACAAGAGGGGGGGAAATAAAGAAAAAGGGGAAAGAAAAAGGGGAAAGAAAAAGAGAGGGAGCGAGAGAGGGATAGATAGAGAGAGAGGAACGGAAAAGCACAAGATGATGACCACGTAACCACTCTGGGGCTTGGTTTGCACACCGTCTGAATGCATATGAACCTACCATATGGGCAGGTGCATGACGTACACTGGAATATGCAGGGCAGTTTGGAATCGCCCAACTTGAACCATTTTCATAAAACCAATCAGAACGTGGTTCGTGCTTTCCGCGATCAGAATGCACCTGGACCTACTTGCGGCCAGGTACTGAAGCCATATACCGGAATATACATACAGGCCGGCATTGCCCTATATTTCCTATTGGGGAAACTGAGGGACTTTGATGATGCTTGGTCAATGAATGGCAATCCAGGAATTCCCAACACAGCAGATGGCAGTTGCCTACTTCCCAGAACGAGTGCACCTAGACCAGCAAGTGGGGCAAGTGCATGATCTGCACATGGACCCCTCATCCAACTACATTCACTCTTAATAGAGATTAAAAAAATAAGATCCCTCTTCAACCGCCAGTACACAGCCCCAGCCTTGCTGAAAAGAAACTCGTCGCCTATCCGGAAAAATCGGCCCCAGCGCGCCGTCCACAAAAGAGATCAGCGGCCAGCGTCGCTTTCCGGCCTCTAACACGGCCCCGCCGCCGATGCGAGGCGTGTACTGATGGTTTTAATTACACTGGCAAACCAGAAAAACCGACGCCGTCTACGGCAATTGCGTCTGCCTCCTTCACAGACTCTAGCAAAATGACCGCCCTACCCCTGAGCCACATTGCTGAGAGGTACACACCTACTACATGCCTGCTGATAAACAGATCACCAGTTCATATCCGGCCAAAGCTCAATAATGCAAGTGTCATTTCCCTTTCAGGAAAAAACAAAAAGACACAGGAAAAAGAAACCCCTGTCCCGACAACGAAAAAAAAGGGGCCTGTCGTCTTAACAACCAAGACAGCAGACAAAGACCGGGTACCGACGGGCGTTGCTCAGTTCGTACACCCACCAACTATATCGAAATACAGACCAGAGTTCGAATCCAGATGCAATCTGATGAGCAAAATAAATATCTCCGAATTTACCTGACACCGGTCAGTTCCAAGGTGAAGTCTCAAGGCCATCGCCCTTTCGAAGTTTGAGGCTCAATAATGCAAGTGTCATTTCCCGTTCAGGAAAAAACAAAAAGACACAGGAAAAAGAAACCCCTGTCCCGACAACAAAAAAAAAGGGGCCTGTCGTCTTCACAACCAAGACAGCAGACAAAGACCGGGTACCAACAGGCGTTGCTCAGTTCGTACATCCACCAACTATATCGAAATACAGACCAGAGTTCGAATCCAGATGCAATCTGATGAGCAAAATAACTCCGAATTTACCTGACGCCGGTCAGTTCCAAGGTTAAGTCTCAAGGCCATCGCACTTTCGAAGTCTAAAAAGGAGAAAAAGAGAACAAAAAAAGAAAAAAAAAGGGAGGAGGGGGGGAGGAGAGGAAACTTAAAAAAAACACCGACCGAATTGAGCGACGAAGAAGCTTTGTTAATAGCAATCGCATATTATTTCCGCGCGCATGTGGGAGGGAGGAGGAAATTGCTTGCCGTTTCCTAAAAAGGAAACCAAGAGAACAAGTAGGGCAACAGCCAGCCAGAAACTACCAAGAACGGAAATCGGTGGTGGTCCATCCATTCAAACTTCAACATCTCTGTCAAAATAGGAAAATTGCTACCACCCGCCTCACCCGCCTCATGGCAGGCCGAATATTACACACATGAGACTATTCGGTGACTGCAGCTTTGTCGTCTCCCTTCCCTCCCCTGTATAAGCCTTTAGGAGTAGTGGTTGGTAAGTAGCGAAGGTGATTTGACAGAATTTGACAGATGATGAAAGATTTGAGAGAAGAATAAAGCGTAGTCTACAAAAAAAAAAAAAAAAAAAAAAAAAAGAGACTGTTCGGTGAATGGAGCACACAAATGATCTGTCCAAAAACAGATCATGGGTTCCAATCCCGGCAGCGAATCACAAGAATCAACAAAAAGAATTTGACAGATGAMGAAAGATTTGAAAGAAGAATATAGCGTATTGTACCAAAAAAAAAAAAAAAAAAAAAAAAGACTATTCGCCGAATGGAGCACACAAATGACTGTCCAAAACAGATCATCGGTTCCAATCCCGGCAGCGAATCACAAAGATCAACAAAGATTACATACAGGCTGCGTCCTTTTCTGAAGAGAACAGTTGGCGCTGAATGGTACACAGCAGACTGTCCATAAACAGATCATGCATTCAAATCCTCAAGAGTTCGAGCCAGAAGGATATCATAAGGTTAGGTAGGGGCGGCTATTACCCTCGCATTTAAAAAAAAATAAAAAAAATCAATGTCGAACTCAAGAGTTGAGAAGGAAGAAAGCAAGACAAACAACAGGTCTA